ATACGGAAGTGGGCGTGCGTTCACGCTTCCGTATTGTGTATGGGTAGGTAGTGAAAATGGCGACGCTAGAAATTTACATTTCTAAGAAAAAACGTAGTAACTTTGTATTCAAAATTTTTGTTTAAAACATTAATTTGTCAATTTCTGGTGTCGCCATTTTCACTACCCATACACAATACGGAAGCGTGCGCGTGTGTACGATCGGAGCGCCTGATCGAAATGATAAAAATTTGATTACTATTGTAAGTCAATGATTACTATAGAAAATATGTTATTACATTTTTTCATTTGAAAAAGTTTGTATATCGGTTTTTGTAAAAACAAACACCGTTATACAAATTCGTTTCGTGATCGCGCTCGCACCGCCAACAATTTTTCGTCGGCGCGCCTCTGGTTGATCTATTATCGGCGTTCATATCTACTACGTATGGACATTACTTAATTATGTTTATATTACTGTTTATGTAAAAGGCACAAATTTTACCTTGTTTTAAAAGGCATATTTGTACAAAGTACTTAATACGGGTCATATTGTAAACTATTTTAAACAGGTTAATGAATTACAAAGTAATAGATTCTAGCTAAAGAGGTATCTACATAACAATAAATATGGTATATTTTTTAATAAAACAATTACAATGTAATACCTAAAATGTCAGTTTCACAAAAATGTATACATGCGGTTTCCTAGTCATAGAACTGATAAGAGTATATTTATATATTTTTTACATACACGTAATTGTTTTAAGCCAAAGGTAATTAAGAGTTTTACACGTATTTGTCATTTTTCGTAAATAAGTTAACCTAACATGAATTATTCCAGCGTCACCATGGTCGAGTTTTGGAAATTAGACTAGCCAGAAAAAATGTCTCTATTTAGTCGGTGCTAGTCGCAAAAAACTAGATTTAGTCGGTCCGTCTTTTTGAAAAGTTATAAGGGTGTTTTACTGTCCACGTTAGAATAAACTTATTCCAGCTGCACCATTTCTCAATCTCGAGAACCACAACACCTAGCTTAGATCTGATTACACTAAAAAAAGTCGTGATTTAGTCGGTTCTTGTTGTAAAAAAAACTAGATTTAATCGTTACGACGTTTTGAAGTTATTAAAGTGTTTTACTGGCCACGCTGAAATAAGCTTATACCGGCGGCACCATTTTTGAATCTCGAGAACCACAGTTCCTAGCTTAGATCTGATTGCACCCAGAAAAAGTGAATTAGCAGTTCTAGTAGCGAAATTTTGGAATTAGTGGCCCTTTGTTTAGAAGACACAACCGATTTATTATTTTAAGGTTATACCTGTGTTAGTCTCGGAGCTCACGTCCGAATTTTGCATAATATACAGAATTTGTTGTTTATTTTTTTGAAATACATGCTATTTGAAGGTTTTAATAATGTTTAATTTTTAATACAAGGAAATTAGCAAAAAATGTACAGTTATTTTTCCTTAATGGTATTAGGATTTATCGATTGTCATGATATTTATTAGTGCATGTATTGTCGTGTTGGGCTCCTGGCTTACACGAGACGAACGAGTCGCGTGGAGTACAGTCGCGTACGACAATTGATCAGAATAATTCAATAATGAATGAATGACTTAATTAAATTATGACTGACTGACTGAGAATGACTATTATAATTTATAGCACTAGTAATTTTGAACTGCAATTTGTGTTAAATGTGACTCTAAAAATCCAGTGGATATTTAAAATATTTATTTATTACACTCGGTATCAATTCAAAATTATTTTAATCACCACGAACACGATATCTTGAGTGATTTCACAAAGAACATTTAAAGCGGGTGACCTTCCTTATACTCCGTCCAACCATTAATTTAACTTTTGACATATGCATGCCTCTAGATTTCGTAATTTTTGATATAGAACCATTGTGCAACCATAGACAAAAAATGCAATACTTCCTTCCTGGACTCTTATTTTTTAATTTTAGTGAACCGACGTGCTCATTAGCTCCGATATTTATCGAGCCAACAGATTATGTAACGGAGATTATTCAACTTTGATAAATTTTGGTACCTGTCTAATAAATTATAATGAAATGAAATCAATTATAAATAATTATAGTAAATTTTTATTGTTTATTATAATGAATCGTCGGATTCTTCTCCATAGGAACGAGAATCATCACTTGAATCCTATTAACATCAATTATTAAGTACACAAATTATCAAACGCAACAACACAATCCCAATCAGGCAATGTCTTTTTTGAACTCACTCACATTCACGATTTAAGCTTATTCATAAATTAAATCGATTGTCATAAAAAAAATCTAATCGGTAATGCTGTCAAAAGTTAAATGAATGGTTGGACGGAGTATAGATATACATTTTTCATTATGTGTACGATTTTCTACATAAATGTACCTATCAATGAAAATAATTGAATATCCAATATCTTTTAAACAAAGGTGCGACTAATTTTGCTACTAGAACCGACTAATTCACGACTTTTTCTGGGTGCAAGATCTAAGCTGTGGTTCCCGAGATTGTGAAATAGTGCCGCTGGAATAAGCTAATTCCAGCGTGGACAGTAAAATACCTTCTAATTTTTGTAAGGCGGACCGACTAAATCCAGTTTTTTGCGACTAGAACCGACTTAATAGTGATTTTCTTTCTGGCTAGTCAAATTTCCAAAATTCGACCATGGTTATGCTGGAATAAAGCACACGGCAATCACTGTCCCTGCGTGGAATAAAAATAATAAATGTATCTGTTAATAGAATGCTAGTCATTATATACAATACTAAAGAAGCCCAGTCAATGTATAAGGTACCTAGGTAGGTAGTTAATATTTTTTAAATTATTATCACTTTAAATTGTATATGAAGTCTAGGTATTGTACAGGATGCCAGCTGTCAATTTAGTAAAGTTTTAGGAAAATGAAAGACAAATTAATCAAGTAATTTCTGTTAGCGTCGCCAAGCTGGTTCGACCTCCGGCTGTGGCTAACCCAAACAGGTTACAATAGTAAATGAAATATCTGTCAGAACCGAAATTGCTTGCGTTTTCGAGATGAGTCGAAAACAAAGCAAAAAAATGTGGATATCGTTTTTAAACAAAAGCTAAATATTAAATTCGGTATTTTAAACAAACAAAGAAAACCTAAAATTCCTAAAACTTTAATAGGTGCTAGTGTTTGGCTCCTAAGTGACATGAAATAAAAGTGGACTGTGTTAGCAATAGGACTGGTATATTCGCCGTCTCGATTATATAGCTGTAATGGTTTATATTATATAAATGAATAGGGGTCGACCGTCGCCGGTGGCTATCGATAAGGCGAGTGCCACTGCGCCGCTGCCGCTCGCCGTGACGTCACGCTAGCCGTGTCGTCCTTTTTCGCATCTCGTGCCGAGCGGGGGGTTTAAGACTGGTTCGCAACAGCTTGATCCAATTAAGTTGGTTTAAATTGTTCTAGCATGTCAAACAATTATTGTATTTACTTTCAAATGTCAGATAATTGCACAACATTAAACAATGTGCTGAGTTTGATTTGTGTAGCGTGCATGTTTAGTGAATCTATATTTTCATTGTTAAGGGTCAACTATTGTGACACTTGGGCGTGCATAAAATAGGTATTCTTCTTAACACCCAAGCACTTCCTGTTATCACATTGTTTTGTACGCCTACATTAACGAATTCCTAGACATCGCCTAATGCACATTTGACATTGTATAGAATACATACACCAAGTTTATAATAGAGTTTATTTTATACATTGACTGGGTGTTTTAGGCATTGTATTGAAAACCGGATTACATACATTGCCGATAACATATGTATACTACTAATATACTCCAAAATCTACAATGCAATTAAATAGATACAGCCTAAGATTTACATACATTAATACAGTAACATTGGAGGGGATGCATTTACGTTCGTCGTATTTCCTCACATAAGTACTTATACATAATGGTTAGCGAAAACAAGTACCTAGATGTCTATTTTTAAATTAGTACTTAGTGACGCTTTATTATCTTGTAGAGACTTGCATGGCGCAAAAGATGTGTATTTATTGCTTAGAAGTTGTACGTAAAGCTACGTATGTTTAACAAATTTGCCTGTTCATGTGAGTTTGTGGTAGTGTCCTGTCTGCAGTCTGCACAATTTTATTTATATCGAGAAGCGAGAAAAAAGAACTACCTCGCGGGAGTAACGGATAACATAATACTAATCGCCATTTAGTATGCCAATAGCGATCATTAATCCCCTTCCTACGTTATCTGTAAAAACTATTCTCCATTGTCCGTAAGTAATGTGCGAAAGTGTTATCGTTAGCGTATCGTGGTGAAAATCACCTTGATGTACCTGCAAATAACCTCGGGGGTTGTAAACTTATAAATAGTAATATATAATATAGATAGTAATAATTAACGAAATGAAACATATAAAATAACTAATATTTCCTTCATTCTTTACAAAAAATTTAATATATTACAATAATGTAATATCGATATTACTACTAAGCAGGACCGTCACTTTCAGAATTGTTACGATTAAAAATAAGAAAGTAAATAATGAAACGAATGAACATCAAAATTAATAAAACGATATACATATGAAAACAACACCAAAACTGACAAGTGAATATTTCTGATATTCTACAAACAAAACAAAACTGCTGACGTAGGCGTGTAATACAGTTAAAAAGACACAGATGAGTTAAAATTTGTCTATTTTAGAGGCCCATAGTCTATTTTATTTCAGGATGTTTAATGAAAATTAATACATTTTCCAATTTTTTATTTGTATTATGTAAATTGTTAGGTATAATTATTTATTATACAATGAGTTTTAAATATTATTTTTGATGTGAAGTGGTTTATTATTGTAACCAAGGAAGAAAAATTGTTCTGTGGGATCAGCGATCGGCCGCTGTCGAATTGTGACTTCGGTTCGGCCAGTGACCGCTATT